GTTTGAGGAATTTTTGATTTCTATCTTTATTTCATCATCGATCCAAGGATCATTCAGCAGTAAATTGTTTAATTTCCATAACTTTGTGTAGATTTGAGTGTTTCTCTTGGAATTGATTTCTAGTTTTATTTCACTGTGTTCTGAGAAGATACTTGGAATGATTTCAATTTTTTTAAATATGCTGAGACTTGTTTTATGGCCTAAGATATGATCAGTCTTGGAGAATGTCCCATGTGCTGATGAGAAGAATATATATTCAGTAGTTTTTGGATATAATATTCTGTAAATGTCTGTTAAGTTCATTTGTTCTAGAGTCCCATCTAAGTCCAATGTTTCTTTATTGAATTTCTCCTTCAATGATCTGTCCAGCTCTTTCAGTGAAGTCCCTGGCAGTTATTATGCTACTGTGCATTTCTTTGCTTAGTTCTAGTAGAATTTGCTTTATGAGTCTGGAAGCTCCTGTGTTAGGTGTATATATTATATATTTAAGATTGTTATATCTTCTTGTTGAATTGTTCCCTTTGCCATTATATAATGACCATCGTCTTTTTTTTTTTACCATTGTTGATCATATTTCATCTGATATGAGAATAGGTATACCTGCTCACTTTTGGTTTCTATTTGTATGGAATATTTTTTTCCATCCCTTTACCTTGAGTTTGTGTGAGTCCTTGAGAGTTAGATGTGTTTCTTAGAGACAGCATGTATTTCTTGGAGGTTTTTTTCCATCCATTAAGCCAGTCTATGTCTTTTAAGTGGGGCATTAAGACTGTTCACATTCAGTGTTAGTATTGATGTGTGAGATATTGTTCTGTTCATCATGCTGGATGATACCTTGTTGCTTTGTTTTCCCTCATGTAATACTGATTTATAAGAGCTGTGAGCTTTAACTTTTGGATGCTCTTACACTGGTGGGTATCTCTTGTGTTTTCCAGGTATAATGTAGTTCTGAGTATTTCTTATAGGGTAGCTCTAATAGTTACAAATTCCTTCAGTGTTTGCTTGTCTGGAAAAGTCCTTATTTCTACATCATTTATAAAACATAGTTTTGCAGAATACAAAATTTTTGGTTGGCAGTTGTTCTGCTTAAGAAGACTAAAAATGGGGCCCCAATTCCTTCTGGCTTGTAAAGTCTCCACTGAAAGTCTGCTGTTAGCCTAATGGGTTTTCTTTTGTAAGTTAGTTGTTGCTCTCATCTTCCTGCTTATAGAATTTTTTCCTCCTTTTTGACTTTGGCCAAGTTGATGACTATGTGTCTGGGCAATGTCCTATTTGCCATGAATCTTCCCAGTATTTAATGATCATCTTGTATCTGGATATCTGAATCTCTGATGATACCAGGGAAATTTTCCTCAACAATTCCCTCAAATAAGTTTTTCATGCTGTTTGCTTTTCTTCCTTACTCTCACACACCTATAATTCATATATTGTTTCACTTCAGTAGTCCCATATTTCTATGAGTGATTGTTCATTATTCTTTATTCTTTTTTCTGCATCTTTGACTGATTGGGTTAGTTCAAGAGCTTTGTATTCAAGCTCTCAAATTTGCTTCATCTAATCTTTTGCTGAAGCTTTCTGTTGTAGTTTGAAATTCTCTAAATAACTTTCATTTCTTTAAATTATGCTATATCCTTTCTTTGTTGTCCAGCCCTTTAGTGACTTTTTCATTTTTTTATTGATATCCTGAAACATTTTTTTTGGCTTCTTTGTGTTTGTTTTCAGCTTTCTTTCAATCCCATTTATCTCATTTGCCATCCATATTCTAAATTCCATTTCTGACATTTTGACAATTTCCTTTTGGTTGGAGTCCACTGCTATAGATCCATTTTGATCCCTTTAGGGTGTTGAACTAGCTTGTTCATTCATGTTGTTATAGTTCTTTTGCTGGTTTCTTCTCCTCTAAAACCCCTTCTCTCAGCTTAGGACAGACAGGTTTGCAGCATACCTATTCTCCTTTGCTGGGAACTCAACTACTCAGTGAGAATAAGGAGAGGTCCGTAGATGGTGCTTTTGGGACCTACTCTGGAAAACTGACCTGGCAGGGGAGGGGCAGATGCATTGAAAGACTGTGATACAGCTAATCTGTGTTGTCTTGTTCCCCTGTGATAGTCACAATCCAATCCTGTGCTAAATGATCTTTGTGCAGAGTAGAGAGTGGTTCCCCATGCTACTGTTGGAAGCTCAGGTTGGAGTCTGGGCGAGTCACTCTCCATGAGGTTGGCATTGCAGGAGATTGCTCTACCTTGGTTTCCCTGTGGCTGTGCGAGGCTATCTAGGCATAGTTGTGGGTGTTGGAGCTCAAGGTTTTTGCTCTAACTGGGTCCAGATGCAATAGTGGCTCAAGGCTGGAGGGTCACTGGTGGTGTATTGGACTGTGAGGGCAGTTCCCATTAGGCAACTGGTGGGAGCCATGGGGATGAAGCTACAGGGACCGGCAGCAGCACTGGAGCTTCAGGGGTGAGTCTGCAGGTCTTGGCTGTGGCACTAGATCCTTGGGTATGAGGCTATAGGGCCCAACAGCACCAGGGTAGCCTTGGAGCTGGGGATGTGGGTCCCGGCTGCAGCGCTCAGCCTTGGAGGTGGGGCCCACGGCAACAGGGTAGTTTCAGAGCCGGGGCCACGGGCCCAGCAATGACACTGGAGCCTCGGGGGCATAACCACAGGGCCCAGGGACAGTGGGGGAGCCTTGGTGCTTGGGCTGTGGAGCCTGATGGCAACAGGGGATCCTGGGAGCTGGAACCTTGGGGATGGAACCATGTGACCAGGCAGTGGTGCTGGAACCTCAGGAATCGGCAACAGTGCAAGAACCACAGGTACGGAGCCACGGGGCTGAGTGGTAGCTTGGGGATCACAGGGCTGAGGATGCAGGGCCGAGCTGCTGGAGATCTGGGGCCCTCCTCTGCCCAGGTCTCATGGAGGCAGCCACCGCAGGACTTCTCAGGTGGTATCTGTGGCACCCGATCTGTTCAGATCCCCCATGGGGGGAGGAATGCTTGGCTCCTCATCATGGGACGTGCAAAAGTATCCACTCTCCCTGCTGTCTCCCCGGCCAGCTGGGGTAATGCGAAGGTGGCTGTAGTGAAGCTGAGCCTGTGTAGACCTACAGCTGTGGACCTGAGAGCTCAGAATGGTGTTTGTTGCAGTAACCCGGGAATGGAAGCCACCAGGTCCCTGATGTGCCCACTCTCTGGTTCAATGTTGCTGCACAGACTCCGGGCAGCTCCCTGATCAGTCCAGAGGTCTGCAGTGGTAGTGGGGACCCCTCACGGCTCTGGTAGCAGTGTCCATAGGGGTAGCATGGTGCCCAAGGGTTCTCTCCTCCCATCCTTCCCCACATGTGGATACCTCCCCAGGTTCCTTCTGATCTGGCTGAGTGGATCACCCCGTCACCTCCTCCTTCACTCTGAGTGTCCCCCATCACTTCTCTGATGATTCACAATTCTCTTTCCCAGAAGGCTCATCCATAGATAGGCATCCACCTGCAACTTCCAATCTTCTCCTTAAGAGGCATGTGTGGGCTGCTTCTAGTCTGCCAACTTGCCTCTCTATTCCAAAAAACAAACTATTGAATGTAAATGAAGATTTTCCTGGTAGACAATGGCAGGCTTCCTGAGCAGGTTAGAAATGGCTTGACGAATTGGGCAGCAACAATGGTGTGACGAGAAGTGCTTGATAATGCACAGTTTTAAAGACTGTAACTATTGCCTGAAGCAGAGCTGACTTTAATTGGATGGATATAGGTATGAGAAGAAGGATTCCAAGCAGAAGATTCTGCATGTTCAAAAATATAATGGCAGAGTGAAGAGATAAATCTGTCTTCTCCAGCAGGTCTGGGCAGGGCACTGGTGGAGGCGAAGTATGGATAGCACCAAAGTCTGAACACAAAAGCCATTAGTGGGGAAAGGGCCCTAAAGTACAATGAGCCTGCAACTTTGCAGACAAAGAAGAGACGTTGACGTTTTCTGAATAGGGAATAATGTCATCACAGTGATATTTCAAAAAATATAATCTGTCAATGCTGTATAGGGCAGAAAGTTTGGTCACAGCAAACAGTTGAGACACTAAATAATCCACAGATCCAAGGTCACATGAAGCTGGACTCCCTGGCAGTAAAAATGTGAGAGAACTCACTTCAGAGCAAGAATCAATGAAATTGAGTAATCTACATTGACAGTACTATAGATAGAGACAGTCAAGTAAAAGGAATGGGACTCAATGAATACAGATAAAAGGACTTACACCAAAATAGTTTTTAAACTAAATCCATGATATCCTTTGGCTTTCAATTCAAGAAACATTTACTGAGTATCTACTATGAGTAAGGCATACAGTCTTTTCTCATCATTTGTCTCATTATCTTAGGAGCTGAATGTAAAAAATTCCAGTTAATTGATTTCACAGACTGATTGATGTTCTTCTGTAAGAACAACAGATTGATTTTTTTATAGAGAGCAATACTAATTCTTCCATCATGTCCTCCTTTTTCTGTGCACATGGCCCAATCGACTTTAGGGCCAACTCAATGCGAAAGCAGAAGAAAGGCATTAAGAGAACAAGGTCCATTAGGCCCAATATTGCCTCAATTACTTTAATTCCATTATTCCTGTTCATATTACTTCTTTAATCAATAACTCTTTGCAGTTGTTCATGTTTACCCCTTTCAAAATCACAACTAATAGGATTACGGTCTTTTGTGCTCAGTGGCAACAGAGTTTCATAAATATATTTCTGAATTTGTGATTGTCTCCAGATCTGTAACTGAGAAGTCTGAAATTGAATCAAGTTTTCCAGAGGCCACTTTATATAATAATGCAGAGCTTCATAATGCAATATAGGTGCTTTTACCTGCTATGTCATTTGTCACTCACTGTCAAAGACAATCACATATGCTGAATGGCTTCCTAGGTGTCTTCTTCCTGTGTCCCAACCTTAGGGTAGTTTAACTGATTTTGAAACGGGATCTCTTTTCCGTACATATTTCTGCCTTTTGTTTAATGTAGTCCCTCCACCTTCACTGACCATTATTCTGCCCTGCAAATGTTTCATGTGGACGACTGCCTCTTCCACATGACAATTAATCAATCCCTCAGTTCCACCTCTGTAACAGCCTTACAAATTAAAGGCACCCTGTTTCGCTCCATTCTTTTCACAAACATCAGTGCAGTGTCTACCACATGCAAGAAGCTTCGCTTTTGGCATAAAGAGGATACTAAGGTATGTAGCCCTTCCCCTCAACATGTGAGTGGTCCTTCCGAGAGTGTTATAAAAATAACTTGTGATAGAAAGAAGCAGGTGAAAATTGTGATATGAGAAATCTGCTGAAAATTCCCCTGGAATTCACAAACGCTGAAATCACTCATGAGTAGAGAAAAGTTCTCCTAAAGGATATGAATTTCAGTGAGATCTTGAAGGATGGGAGGATTTTGAAAACGGAAGCTAAGAGAGGAAAGTAACAATTGTATATAAGAAGCAAAGCCAGAAAATCTAGCTGAGCAAATGATTTAACAGAATAAATAAAAGAGAGAAAAGGCCTGAATTCCCCTTGGAAGCAGTGAGACCAGAGCGAGGGTCACAGGGGAGGGGTTTGTCAGGATTTAAGCACTTTTTAATACATGCTCCTCGCACGAAGCAGGATGAACTGAAGGCAACTGCAATTTGTTGACCTGAGACGGAAAGGAAGCCTCAGCAACATGTCAGGCGATCGTCAAGACTGATCTCTGTCTTCCTGTAGAGCCTCCTCTAGCCTCACTCCCCTCTTCCCACTTGATGCTCCAGCAACGCCCAGACAACATGGAGCACACAAACATGTCCTGCCCCTCACACCTCTCTGCTAACCCACCCTCTGTGTCCTTTGGGATGTTCTCTCCCCACCACACTGATCAGCCTAGCAGTTTTCTATTCCTTCCAATCTCCGTTGAAATGTAATCTTTTCCATAAAGCATTTCTTAACTCCCCCAAGCCCATTTTTGGTTGCTGTTTCCTACACGAAACGTACATTTAATCTATAGCTCCATCATAGGAATGCATTTTACATGACTATTTCCCACCTAAATTATAATATACTAGATGTTTTTCCCAGAACAATCTTTGGCACATGTCCAAAGGGCTATACAAGAACGTATGAATGAATGAACAACCGAACGAACAAACTGAATGGTTGTATGAACAAACAAACAAAAGAAAAAAGAAAATCCGGAAAAGGGCAGTCACACATGAAAAGGAAAAGGTGAGCAAAAATACGAAAGAATTACAGAAATCTGACGAGCTTAGTGGTAGCTAAATATAGAGGAGGGAACAGATGGAGGAGAATGTCAACCTTCTGCGTTCCCTGTCAGAAGCCACTGCTCTTCTTCATAACTTTTATATTATCAGCTCCTAAGCAGTTAACATAAACCCACGCATTTAAACGAAACAAAGAAGGAAGCATCAGAGAGAGAGAGAGCAAAAGAGACAGAAGAACCCAGGGAAAGCAGACACTAAGATTCCTATTTCAACTTATTCGTGTGAAAAAATTTCCTGAGACAGTCTGATAGAATCTTGATTCAAAGTATAATTTCTTTAGTTAAAATACTTTCCATATTATCATAAATATACTCTAATTTCAGAGATCTAAATAAAACTACCAGGTTACTAACTAAAAGAACATAAAAATCATTTCCTTTATCCCCCTCTTTTTAAAATCAGAGTTTAACAATGGATAAATTATTACCAACTCCATGAGAGTCATATGTCTGAGTTTTCAGAAATATAAGATCAGTGAAATTGGAAAACACAAAATGGAAATAGAGAAAAGACTAAGCAACGACAATAAACTCGTTAGTGTTCAAGGTGCTTGAGGTTTTATTTCTGGGTTTTTGTCTCTTTAAAAATAGGCATTAGATACACACAAAATAACTTAGTTATTAAAATAAGACTTATTAGAATGCTATAACTGTGGTAACGCACAGGGTAGAATACTTCGCTAGCTATTTCAGGACAGTTTAATTATCAGAATGTAATTGCTCACTGGGCTCTACCTGCGGTTGAGAGAGGGCTATCCCACCATCACTCAGATGTGATCATTGTTTGGCCAAAATAAATGAATTGTTTCAATTTTAATGAAGCCCTACAGACATCCTCACGAACCAGCCAAGGAGAGTTCACGTGAAAAGTTACAGAGGCCTCTAATCAAGGGTAGTAAGCTCTTGAATAAAATAGAAAAGAAAAGTAAGCAGCAGAGACACGGGATAAAGTTATACATCCACACGCGGCACTGGGTAGAACTGTGCCTGCACCCATCACAAGGGCCATAAATATCTCCTGTTTGATTTACCAATTTTCTTAGGACTAATGTCGGTGTGAAAAATGCTAAAATGAATTTGTATTTTCATTTTCATTTTCTACTGCCTGTCATCATCTTATAAATCCAGTGCTGTCTAAGCCGATGCTATCACTTGGCCATGGGACAGCCTGCAGCCCCACCCCCAGAAATAGAAAAGCTCCCGGGGGCTGGGAAGGCCTGTAAGTAAATGATTCCAATATGCCTGCAGCACAGACTTCCCTGAAGCCTGGGAAGGATCTAGACATCAGACTGCCTACTTATAGCAGCTCCTCACAGCACTAACGCAAGGGCTTAAATGAATTCACAAGGCTCCTGAAGAGACCTACCACCCTCTCAGGAGGAGATCTGCCCCTGGCCTTTGAGTCCTCTCAGCAGGAGGCTTCCTTTTGCTATTAAAACAGTAATCCTTTCCTGGAAGTCAAAGTACACATGGCCAGAAAGCCCTACCTCAACAGGAAATGAGGGTTTCCCAAATAAGCATCTCTAAAGAACAGATCACTTAAGTACTACCTTGAGACCAGTATCCTAATATTTTATCAACATCCAAATCTGAACCCTCAACAGATAACTTCTAATAATGTTGAGCTAAAGAAGCATAAAGAAGGGAGAAGATGGCGATTAGGGCAGATCTATTTCAGGATAGCATTTAGAGATTAAAGCCAGGGAACAGAACGCTAAATTTAATAAGTGCAAAGCGATGCAGCTGGAAAGAAAGAATAGCCTAGCTAAGTATGATTTAAATGGTATTGAATTAGCTGGAAAGATATCTTGATGTACTGATAGAGGCGGCATGTAAATTGGCAGTTGAGCCTGCGATGCCGCAGAGACGGCAGGACAGGGCTCCACACAGAGAGCTATATTTTAAAAAATCCCACTTGCAATTCCTTTTCAAGGAAAACTCTTACCCCATTTATGATGTTGTTTAACTTGGACTATCCTGAAAGAGTTCACTGAGGACAAGGGCCAGCGTTATACCTGCCCACCTCTAGTCCCTACACTTTGCCTTTTCAAATTAAACTTGACCATGACCATTATGGTCTTTGCCATTCACTCATTCGACACCTATGAAGCAGCAGGCAACGTGCTACATTTTTTAGTGGACAGTTAGAGGAATTAAGTACGGGTACACCTCGGAAATATAGCAGGTTCAATTCCAAACCATCGCAATAAAGCAAATATCATATTGAAGCAAGTCACACAAATTTTTGGGTTTCCCAGTGCATTTCCCAGTTACATTTACACTATACTATAGTCTATTAAGTGTGCAAGAGCATTATGTCCAAAAAACAATGTATATACCTTAATTTAAAAATCCTTTATTGAAAACAAAAAAAAAAACCACTGTCACAGAGACACAGAGTGAGCACATGCTATTGGAAAATGGCACTGATGGACTTGCTCGATGCAAGGTTGCCGCAAACCTTCAATTTGTAGAAAACACCGTATCTGCGAAGTGCAATAATGTAAAGCATAATAAGGTACACCTGTGCCCTTCCCTTAGCTAGCATTCTGGGTTGAATTGTGTATACCAAGACGATGGTGAAGTCTTAACCCCCTGTACGTGTGAACGTGACTTTATTTGGAAATATGGTTCTTGGAGACGATCAAGTTAAGATGAGGTCATTAGGACAAGCCCTAATCCAATGTGACTGGTGTCCTTATGAAAGGGAAACGTGGACAGAGAAAAACACATGCATAGAAGTAAGACAACGTAACAACACAGGGAGAATGCCATATGCAAGTCAAGGAGTGCCTGAAGCTGCCAGAGGCAGGAGAAAGGCATGGAACAGATTCTTTCTCGTGTCGCTCAGAAGGAACCAACCCTGCTGATACTTCAGTTAGACTTCTGGCCTCCAGAACTGTGAGACAATAAACTTCTGTTTTAAGCCAGTCAGTTTGGGGTATTTTGTTAAGGCCATCAGAGGAAAGTAATACAGATTGGGTCACAAAAGAAACATGCCCAATAACAACATTGCCACGGTTAACAGAACTCGTAGTGTGGGTCTACCTGCAGAGGCTTTGGCTCAGTTAATGGGGACAGGTTCAGTCACTGGACTATATATAGATCACCACCATTCACATTAGTTCTATAAAGACCAACAAAGGGCCAGTGTGGTGGCACGTGCCTATGGTCTCAGCTATTCAGGAGGCTGAGGCGGGAGGATCCATTGAGCTCAGGAGTTTGTGACTAGCCTGGGCAGCATAGTGAGATCCCCATCTCTAAAAAAAGGTAAAAAATAAATAAATAAATAAAGGCCATTAAAGAAAAAGAAGGTTCATACTCTGAGCCCAACCTAATGGCAACTGTTTAATCCTCTAAAAAGATGATTAGAACAGAAGCAGTAAAGGTTAATGGAAAATTAATCTTGGTAACCTATTTAGGGAAATCAAAGTGGTGGGACATGCATTTATTTAAAAAGAAAATGCAAAGGGAATTTAGTAGGATAACTTCATATAAGGGGAGAGAGATGAAACTTTAATTAGAAATCTTCAGTATTCACATATTTACATAAATGTTGAAGAGAGAAAAGCCTTCTGACAAGGTAATAAAGATGAAGAATAGTAATAATTCTATGTAAACTCTGTAGACACTGGAAATAGATTTCAAGTGGCCAGTTCTTACACTGGTTGTTTACAGTCATTAAACTGGTTGTAATAATCTGGTTGTCCTATTGGGTTGACAGAGGCCCTGTCACAGGACCTTTGCAGGTGCTCCCCAAGTGCATGTTAGTTCACTGAGATCTTCTACCACAGGCTCTCTGAACCCCAGCACAGCTGAGCAAGACACACATAAGAGAATGCTGTCAATAGTATAATTAAGCTAAACCCCTTCCCGTACAGCGACAACCAACCTGCTGTCATCCCTGTGCAGCACACACCACCCCTTTACCTG